AGGAGATGGGCACGAAATGCATTTTCATTGCTGTCTTTAATAGATGGCAGTGTGCGTTTTTTGTCATTGTCTTTTTAATGGTAACCACCAAGTGATCGCTATTTACCTTCAATTATCAAGTTTCATTGGGAATAATGGCCTTGATAGCGTAACATATTCATTAGGCCTAACAATATTTTGTTTGCCATGGAGCATATTTATAATACGCCATTGTTACACCTTAACACGCCACATGTTAAAAATGCACCCGATTCATCAATATACAGGGGCGGATCCAGAGCAAATTTGAAGGAGGGGCAGTTGGTATTGGGGGCGCTGAAAGATTTTCAAAAATTGGTTGCGAGAGTACGCTGTAAACAGCAATTTTAGATACCTTTTCAGAATAAACAACATAACTTTGAGGTACTCCTTGAAGCAAATTAACCTATCGGTCAAAGAACCTTTTTCATCTGATTCTCATTCTTCAAAAGGGGCGCATAATTTCCAAAAAAGGGGCGCCAGACTTGCTTCAACTCGTTGAGGGAGGGGCAACTGCCCCTAGTTGCCCCCCTGAATTCGCCGGATAAACGAGGATTGACGAAGAGACCCCAGAAATTTATTTTTGATTGAAAATTATTTGGTTAATACTTTTTTTAATGCTTTTGCTTAAAATTTCTGTTTATTCCACTTCTGTTTAACTTCAATTACGTCTTTCTTACGAGCTTTATCGATCACTACTTCTGACATTTCTTTTCTTGAAACTCTACTCAGTCACACCTCTCGCGTTTCTTCCGTTTCTTTGGTTACAAGTGACCTAGAAACTAAGTACCAGAGATGTGACATAAACAAGTGACCCAAATTTAGTTCACTCTTGATGCACTTGTTGATCCCCAATGTTGGAGACTGCCTTGCTTTTGTAGGTTTTTTAATTTAAGATAGGATGAACAAACGGGAAGCCTTAAGCTCCATATCTTTGATGTCGCATTACTGTGATGTCGACGGCCTTCCTCTTAGATATTAACGGTCTAGAATTGGCTAAGTTTGAAGGAAATCCGTCGTCTGGTGTCGATATCATGCAAACCGCGTTTTGTTAATGAACAATGGCCGTACTTCAAAGATACTATTTCTGATCAATACTTCATTAGGGCGTATGCAAGATTAGTGCTCATTTATTGATCAAATTCTTAATTTAAATCCTTCTACTCTTTCGCCAAAAATGTGGAAATCAGCACTGCCGTCTCTACATGCTCATGATCGCCATTTTGGTGTCTCTATTACAGGACAAACGCCAATAACAGCAATTTGATTTTTCTCTCTCCCCATCCAAGTCTCCCATTCTTCTTCTTCCAATTTCTCTTCCTGTCTTTTTCTCTACAAATAGGTTTACATGGAGAATCTCTTGCTGTGAATCATTGTTATGAATATAAAGAAAAGTAAGACGTTTTGGAGATAAGAATATTAATGAAAAACCCTAAAGCCTCGTAATGATGTAGAAGCATCCCAAAAGAGGCCAGTGCTCACTGGTGCATCATTAAATCCTTCTATCATCGGCAAACTTTTTCGCTGCTCAGATATCTCCAGGATTAGGATTTGATAAATTAAAAAAGAGATTATATTGAAAAAGATTATAATTAAAAACGAGACTTCAATTTCGATTCAAGGATCAAACGCAGCGATTTTTAGCTGTATTTTAAAATGAGGAAATCCATAATTCATCTCGTTTGTTTAAAGACAAATCAAACCTGGTCTTATTATATGTCACAAAACCTAAAATCTTGCCATATCATTGAAACCGCCGACGGTATAAGCATCATTTAGATGAGCAGCTGTTTTAATACCTAAATCCTTGCAATTTTTTATTTTTGTAATTAGCAATATGATGCATCAATTTGCGCCATCTTTGCCATTATTTTACGATGCACTCTTAATTACAGATATGCACGACAAAAAAGGCTTTCAACTGGCCTAGCAATTAGATGAGAGTCATAGCTCTTGCTTCCCTTCAGACTCCCCTCAAATGCTCGAGGAGAGCGGCTCTTTGCTACCCTAATCTGTACAAAAAGCAAATTGCCTTCCTTGAAAACAATATTTTACTTTGTTATATTTCTATGAATCTTTCACCTGGAAATTACTAGAAGAGCTATTCACTACTCCCCTGATAAAGCATCATGGCCATGACTGCCCTTAGCGAGGTTGTAAAATTCTGCAATTTGTTTTACGGTGGCAATTCTGTTTTGACCCGAGGGGCAAATCACTCAACGAAAATCTCCTACACCTTTTCTAAAAATTCTTTTTGATCTGAAAATCCCCAGAAATCCTTTTGTTAAATTAAGAGAAAATCTAGTACGCTATTTGCAAGAGTGAATCGTTCTGACCAGACTTAAGTAGAAACCTCGTTCGAGTTTTAGAGCAAGGTATCACATATGTAAATATGTAATATCAATTTGGCTACATTAATAGGCTCGATTATTTTGCCTATTTTCAATACGCTGTGCAAAATTTTTTTAGGTTCATAATTGAATCTTGACGAAAGACCATGCACCTTATTTTATATTTGAGTTGGACAGTTCTGGCAGTTCAGGTTCATCTAAACTTTCCTTAGGCACATACCCAGTCAATTGTTTTTCGAATTATCGAAAGTTATAAATTTCGAAAGTTGGAATTTACAAGAAAAATCATGTAAGAAAATTATTATCTCCAGAGTTAAAGAAGGTTCAAGCGGTCTAATTGATCGAATTTCTTAAGTGCTTATAGTAGTAAGCTATACACAATTGTTGGAAAAAACGCTGAAGCGATTTACATTAATCAAAAATTAATATTTTATGAAGCTTTTCCATTCATCATACTGAGTACCAAAATGCCAGAACCACGAAGAATAACAATATCAAAACAAGATAAGTTTATCCAAATCGAATATTTTGACTAATTCAATGAGATTTTGTGTTTAATTAAAAAGGTTCCTCCCAACCAAGATCTCGCTTAATCACATCCAATTACATCATAATTGTCGCTTACTTTGTTTAATAAATCATTTTACTTCTGCATTCTAGAAACATTCAGCATTAATGCGTCGAACTTGGCAATATTTTAACAGCTGAGAAAACATTTCCACAAAGATTGGATTTGCGAACTTGCAGGAGCAGCATCCTTGAGATCCAGCTTGCAAATAGACGTGCTGGGAGAAGGGGAGCGGCCATTTCTTGTTGCTTCTAATGAGCTTTGGAAGTGTTCTTGGTCTCACAGGATATCCACTGTAACGTCTCAGTTTCTTTTGTCGATATTGCTGGCTGGATGCTGGATTGTCTTGTTTATATTCGCAACCTATGATTATGTTATTTAATGTTTGGACTACGTCTTGCTGAATGGGAGAGTGTATAATTATTGGCTGTTGGGAAACTGTTTGGTAAGTCTCATTGAAACGCAATTATTCAATAGATTATCTTCTCTGGCAATTTAAAACATTTTTAATGCTCGGTAGAAATGAACTTTGAAAGGTTTGGAGTTACTATACAAAGGGTAACTGCATCAAAGCTAGATTCAATAATACGTTCTCCAGTTGGGTTCTCGGGTGAGTTCAGTGGAATTGAAATTAGTCGTATTTTGCCCACCGCATAGATGGTTCATTTTATGTTTTAACGTAGACAGAAATCGATCCTAATTCCGCTGCAATTGTTTCAAGTATGGCGGCTTTCATTTCAAAGAAATGATTTTGTCCGATGAACAAATTTGGGCTAAGAATTGTAGACGCTAAAAGTTTGGCACCACCAGTACTGTTTTGTTCGCCTACATATATTAAATGCCCACTTGTGCCAGGAGCGAAATTACTTGACACTTGAAATTCTTTGTAGTTTTGCTTATCCTAGATTGACCTTTTTTGCGCGTTATAATGCTTGCTTGGGGAGATCTTTGCTATGACATGTCCTGCTTAGCCTTATTCATGGCTGAACGTTGCAAAATCTTGCCTGTTTTAGTTTATCTCGACGCTACATTCTTCTACTTTTCCTATGTCTGATTCTTTGAAGTTTCCCCCTCTTTCTCGTGCCTCTCAATTCGCCCTTGAGTTGAAACGATATTCTCTTTTCGCTCTTTTCGCCCGCAGAAGTTTTTTGTGATGATGGATAGATGAACAGATTTCACCAGATATTACATGACTTAAAGATCTTAAAGCCTGCTAGCGTATATTGTTTCCCAAAAGCCAGGTATTTGTACCAATCTGTACTGCGAGGGCGAGGATCTAAATCTGAAACTTCCTGGCGAAAAGGTCGGTCATTTTCTAATCCACTTTAAGCTTGAGAAAGTCCTATGATGGTTAACTATAAAATCTGATTAAGGCCCAACGTGCTTTTTCATATCATTGATATCAAAGGTGCTTGCCAACAACGGCGACTTTTTCGATATCCCTGTTCTTTTTGGGACAAACATGATATCGGTGTCCAAGGCGACAGCATGATGGCGACAGCCACAACGAAATTGGTTTTTCCGTTAGACATTCCGCTCACGTACTTGCCGGTTTTTGAAATTTGAGTCTCTTCGCATGTGCTTTTCAGTTCAACGTCTGGCTGGTCTTTGAGTCAAAGGGCTATTCATATTTCACGTCTCATCCATTCAATCGTATGCAGATTTGCACGCCTTGCGTAGGTTATTGATGTCAAGTGATCCAATAAATATACTAGATTTCGTTAGATACATTAAATAGATATATAATAACGATGAATGTACGCGAATTGTACCAGGAATAAAAAAATGATGAAATGAGTAACGACGTTTCGAGCATAGCCCGTTACCAAGTGATTCAGTCTGTGACGTCGCATAACTTGACACCAGTTCCAATGTTAATTACACGGTTTGGTTATTTTAGACCTACTTTCCTCGTTACTTCAAATCTGACTGGTATCTAATGCGTCTGGCTAAGATTGTCAAGAAGAGTTCCGATGTTGAAGTTACTGTGAAGCTGAGATGACATTGCATTTTAAGGCAATCATTTGAGATAATTTGGTATGTTTCATTTGCATCTAAAGCGAGAGTGAGAAAATTATGTCTTGATTTCGTATTTTGGTGACGTGGTCTAAAAGGATAATAGGTGAAAATATTACATGATATCAAGTTTTTATTATATGTTTGGAAATGTTATGCTTTGCTTAGAAGTTGATAACCAAAATTTTTCTTAGAAGTTGATAACTGATAATTTTGATGTAGTTGGATACAATTCCAAGTGACATAATTTTAAACATTTTTATTAACATTTTCCGTGTAATTTCAACCATTTATTTTCTCGGTGGTAATTTCTATATTCAGCTATTGCCAGGTCTGACTAGACACCAGAAATTTGTCTACAGGCATTGTTTTGGCATTTTTAGTATATTCACAACGTTTAATGATAGACGATACTTTTATTTTGACTTCCAATTCATCTAGATCAAAATATTTAGCCCATCTTACAATCACCATAAACGAGGCTGTAAACACTTCCGGCCAAACCAAATAGTTACTAAGTTCCAAACAAGCCCTGGTGTTTTTGTGAAGGTTTTCTCAGATACAGAGACCGTCTTCTCAAGTGGTTTGTTGACCTGATTTTCCAGACAGGCTCATTCCTGTTTACTGTCTGTTTCATTTCTTGGTCTGTGTTGAAATCATCACAACTGTGAACCAACTATTTGTTGTGTTTTTTTAAATCTCGAATCTTAATTATACGAAGAGATTGTTGGTATGCTTAAAAGAACACGTCGGGAGACTTTTCCTGGTCTCAATATTAGACCAGCTGGTGTACAGGACCTCTGTTTAATTGTGAAGACCACCCTCTTTCTAACTCCAAAGTCAGGCCGCAACCCCTGGGAACGCCCTTTTAAGAATTATTGTTGTCCCATCCGCGCTCTGAATGACCTCAGGGGCTCTTATTAGGAACTGGACTGAGAAGTGGATGACACTGATGTTCAAGCCTCTTATTTTGATCGCGCTCAAAATAAGACGTATTAATGCCTTGAGATAAAGTAGATAAGGTATCTCTTGTTACCCACATATTTGTGCTATTTGCTGCTCGGCACACGCTAAGGGCCCTGAAAAGCTCTGTCTATTTTTAGTCTGTTTTACCGCAACAGATAAAAGATAATCCTAGACAATGTATCTTAATTAATGAATTTAATCATTGGCTGGTCGTTTCTTATTTTTGTTTAACATTTGTAGTTTTATACAGTCACTCTAAAGTTTTGTTGAGCAATCAGTTCTGGTGCTAGGTCGACTACCTGTGCATGTGGAAGGAAGGTCGATGTTGTGTTTGGTGAGTCTGCGTTTAAACTGTGGTATTAGCTGCCGGTGGCAGAACGAGTGACGGCGCGAAAGGCCTTCTGTTTTAGTAGAAAAGCGAGATTTCCGTGAGTTCTTCTTTCCTGTTTTATAAAGCTTATATTTTCTAGACTGTTTTATTGCTATTGCTGTGTGTATCTCACGTGTCGTGGGACATTCATCGCCGCTACGTTTCATGCGGCCTCTTCATGGGCAGTCACTAAGAACATTGCTAAAGCTTTGTGTTTATCAATTCATAACTTCCTCGTTGATTCAGTCTGCTAGTTATGTGATAGATTATTTTTTTAATTCCATGATTTGCTAACTTTTGCTCAGTTTTGCAAGCTTTTTCAGGTCGAGGGGCGATTCACTCTTGCAAACAGCATACGAGATTTTGCCTAAACAAAAGGATTTCTGGGGATTTTCAGATAAAACAATAGGATTTTCGCAAAAAGTGTACGAGATTATTTTCCATAACTAGAACCCAAACTCCTTTCGGTATTTATACGAGCAACGCGCGGCGTTCGACCTTCAACCTGTTGGTGTTTCGAGCTGATAAGAAGCCAGTGGAGCCACGTGTTTGAACAAGTCGGTATTTTACTTTTCTCGTTTTGAATTTATCGTATTCCATTTTTATTTTCAAGCTACATCTAACGTGGATATTTATACTAGTTACAATTTGTTTTTTAGTTATGGATAACCAAGATAATTTGTATGCTACTAGTGACCTTCGACCTCTGACCCCACACGTGCAAGGTTCAGGAGTCGAAGTCGATCCTGGGTGTTCTTCCGAAACACAACCAGGTTTTCTTCATACGCATTCGTCGTTAGATTTATTGAATGTACGAAGAGATTTAAACGAATTGACTGGACTTTTTAAAGAGTTCGTTAATCATAATATAGGCAGGGATAAAGAGCGGAGTTCTTCCTGCACAGCTGTAAGACCTGACCAGCATTCACCAACTCGTCGCAAGAGGTCTTATGATGAAATGTCTGTATGTCAGACCCATAATTCATTTGAGCACGATTCTGTGTCTCACACAAAATGTTATCCGGAAGCTTTTTCTTCCGTTGAAAATCAGGATGCTATATCATCCAAACGTTCAAAGCGAGTGGATATTGACTCGTTGTTTCATGTGCCTTCCACAGTAAATTCTGAGGCATCTGTCCCAGATCTTAATATGGAAGAAGAAGTCTTGGACTTTGTTGATAATGAGTTATCCGAGGCAGTTTTAGACAAGAAAGGCAAGGGTCTTTCCTCTGATAAGCTGGCCTCAAAAATTGAGGAACAATGGAAAAATCCCAGCAGAAAAGCAGTTGCTCAGGTTTTTAAGAGGCACAAGCACCCTCTTAACCTTGAGAGTATTTCTGTTCCAGCTATGCCAAAGTTGATAACGAAAATGCCTTCATTTAAGGATTCTGTTTTGGCTAGGGAGAGGAAATTATATGATGTTCATCATTCTGTTGCTAAATCCTCCCACATAATTTCAACTTTGGCTGATGATTTACTTCTTGCAGAAAAGAATCATAGCCTTATTGACACAAAGGCTATTGTTTTGAAAGCCTTTGATGCACTATCTGTTCTTTCTAATGCCAGTGTCAATATCTCAAATTTACGAAGGCTTAATATAAGACCTATACTTAACAAGGATGTACAGGGACTATGTGACCCTACTCGTGAAGTCTCAAACCATTTGTTTGGAGACGACATTGAAAAACGCCTGAAGCAAGAAAGGGAGTCTAAACGTCTTGCCTCTGCTGCTACTCAACCGATGCCTCAGTCTACTAGGTATAGACAACATGATAGGCAGATACCAGTGTTTAATAGGCGAACACAGCACTCTTTTTATAATGGCCCTACTCAGCAGTCTTTTTTAGAGAAAGGCCAGAAGTCTCGTCCATATCGGCGGAAGCAGAAGCCCTACAAGGGATAAATGTAAATAATTTCATTTCATTTCTCCCTAAACTGACAAAATATCTTTTGTACAAGATTGACACATTTAGAGCAGGTGCACTTAAAAATCATCTGGAACGTTGGTATACTGTCACTAGTGACTTTGAAACTTTACAAACTGTAGCTGGTTTACAGCTTGAATTCTCATTGCCTCTCAATTTTGAGAGAAATTATGCTGTGCCATTTTCAGCTGAAGAAAATGAGTTTATTCTAGCAGAGATTAAAATATTACAGGATAAACATGTTATAACAGAATGTGATCATGAAGGAGATGAATTTATCTCCCCAATTTTTCTTGTCCCAAAAGATGGTGATTCTTTTAGACTTATTCTTAATTTGCGGAAATTGAACGAGTCTATGCCATATATGCATTTTAAGATGGACACCTTTGACAAGGTTATCAAATTAGTTAGACAAAATTGTTTTATGTGTACTGTAGATATAAAGGATGCTTATTATTCAGTAGCCATATCTGAATCCTGTCAAAAGTATCTGAAGTTCAAGTATCAAGACAAACTGTTTAAGTTCTTAGCGTTACCAAATGGATTATGTTCTGGTCCAAGGAAGTTTACAAAATTATTAAAACCTGCTTTAGCGTTCTTGAGAAAGCAAGGTTTCATTGTCTCAGCATATATTGATGATATCATAATAATTGATGAATCATATGATGCTTGTATTAAAGCTACTGTTGAAACAATCAAATTATTGGATTTTTTAGGTTTTGTTATTCATCCTAAAAAATCTAATTTTATTCCTTCTAAGTGTGTTACCTATCTAGGATTTACTATCAATTCAGAAACAATGAATGTCACCCTCCCATCAACCAAAGTATTGAAAATTAAAGATAAATGTTCCAAATTGTGTATGTCTAATAACCTATCAATAAGAGATGTTGCATCAGTGATAGGCTTAATTGTGAGCACATTCCCTGCTGTTAAATTTGGGCCTTTACACTATAGATCATTAGAAAATGACAAAATTCAGGCACTAGCTATTTCTAAGGGCAATTTTGACCATGCAATGTCACTGTCTAAAACAGCCTATGATGACTTAAGATGGTGGATTGATAATGTTGAAAGCTCATTTAATGACATGGCAATCTCTAATCCTGAAATGGTTATTGCTACTGATGCCTCATCTACTGGTTGGGGAGCTGTCTTAGGCAGTACAAGGACAAGAGGGGTTTGGAATCTCCATGAGCAACAACTCCATATTAATGTGCTTGAGCTAAAGGCTATTTTGTATGGGCTAACTTCTTTGATTGACCAAAGGAATACACATGTTAAAATTTTGACTGATAATATGAATGCAGTACACAGCATTAAAAATATGGGATCCTGTCGTTCTTTGGCTTGTAATGAAGAAGTGAAGCAAATTTGGAATTGGGCTATCCAGAATCAAAACTGCATATCTGTGTCCTTCATCCCAGGAGTTCAGAACTATTTAGCTGATGCTGAATCTAGAAACTATGAGCTTCGAACAGAATGGCAGTTAAATCCATCTGTGTTTAAATTTGTAATCAAAAAATTAAATGTTACCTTAGACATTGATTTATTTGCCTCTAGAATCAATTGCCAATTTAAGCCTTTTGCATCGTTTTGGCCAGATCCAGAGGCTTCAGCAATTGATTCGTTTACATTTAGCTGGTCAACCATTAAATTTTATGCCTTTCCACCATTTGCAATTATTCCTAATGTTTTACAAAAGATTTGTTCTGACAATGCAACTGGTCTTCTAATTGTTCCTAATTGGCCATATAGTCCCTGGTATTCTCTGTACAATAGAATGTTGATTTCTGAACGAATTGTTATTCCTTCCAGCAAGCATCTAATGTTACTGCCAAACCGTCCACAAGCTGTGCACCCACTCCAGAAGTCTCTGCAACTGCTAGCTGGCATGATATCTGGAACAAAAGAT